TACTCACACAGAAACACACCATAGAAACAGGCCCATCTACTCACACAGAAACACACACTACAAACAGACCCGCCAACTGACACAGAAACACACACTATAAACAGATCCCTCTACTCACACAGAAACACACCATAGAAATAGGCCCATTTACTCACACAGAAACACACACTATAAACAGACTCCTCTACTCACACAGAAACACACACTAAAAACAGACCTGTCAACTGACACATAAACATACACTACAAACAGACCCCTCAACGCACACAGGAAGCACACACTACAAATACACCCATCCAAACCAAAATATCAAGCCTCCACCACACACACAGAAGCAGACTTGCACAATGGGAATGTATCCATGCAAGATGACAAGGGGCACCAAACTCACAAGCCCACCTGGGAGACCTAATTTATGTTCTAGTTTGGCCCTGTGTGACACTAGCAGGGTTAATCAGTGAGGTTTTGATTAAATAATTCATAATGTGTTAGACAGATGATTTGGTCTGAAGCAGAGCATTTCCCACAATTCATAACAACGTTAGGTGCTCGTTTTCTTTTTAGGTTGTTATTGCAGAGTTCCACTGGGAAGAATAAAAAGAGCAACATTAAAAGATAAGAAAAAGATGAAAACCTCTTCATAACTAAAGCACGATTATAGAAAGTTACTATGGCTTGCGTGCACAAGTGGTTTTCTGAAAATGTTCTTATTCAAATAGTCCATTACTGTAGTTTGTGACAATGTGAATCATAGGGAGCAGCTATATAACCATGGAGATATCTACTTACATTTTGTTGGGTTTAACTGGTGTAAAGTTTGTGAACTAAAGAGGTATTGGAAGTATCACTAAGGACAGGCAAACTATGCAAAATTAAAATGTGTGCATTCATTATCCCACCCAATTAGTCATCCTAGGATGTGACTACAAAAAGAAACCTACATTTTTATCTTTTCATGAGCACTAAAATGTAGGTGCACATTTGCCACTTCACTTTTTTGATATTTGTCATCTACAAATTACAAGGTCAGATGACAAGAACACCTTCAAGTTCCAGGGGTGTAAACCAGGGGTGCCCAAAAGGTAGATCCCCAGTTGTTGTAGAACTACAACTACCATGATGCTTTGCATGTCTTTAGAATAATTTAGATTGACAAATCATCATGTAAGCTGTAGTTTAAAAACATCTGGGGATCTGGGCACCCCTTGTGTAAGCTATATATTGTGCTGGAGAATTCTGCTGTGAGCTTATAACTAGAACATTTTCTTATCTAGACATAAGGTCAGCCCACCCCCACAAAAGTGCCTAGAAAAAGACAGGCCAATCGTGTGCAGCCACCGTTACCTTAAATGGCACACTAGGTATTCCACCCAGGTGACTGTCCATTATGAGCTGTTCAATTCTTCACTGGCACTTCGGGGATACCCAAGCAGTTTTAAACACACACTTCTTTAGGATTCTAATTTAGGTACATTAGGAATGGTCATGATTCTATCATTACCCTCGCATACACAGGCACTTCTGCATGATTTTATTAAGTCAATGAGTTCACTGAGCTTGTTTTCACACATTAATGTCCGTGAGATTCCGTGAGAGCCCTGCAATGCCAAGAATAAAACTGTTCTACATTGTAAGGAATATAACAGTATCTATAGACGAGGCTTACCATTTCCTAGTACACACACAGGTTTACATAGTCTTACACTATATGCTCTGTAACCTTCTTGTTACCTTTTGCCACCTCTCTAACCATCTTTTTGCCACTTTGCAACTCTGGTTAACTCATTGACTTGATAAACTGATAAGGCAGAAGTGAACTTGTATGTGAGAAGAATGCTAAAACAGTGGATGGCCCTAATGTACTGAAATTAGTATTCTACAGAGTGGTGTGTTCATTATTAAAGCATACTCACTATCATTGCAAAGCACAGCACAATCATTATTATTACAAACATTCCGACGTTACAAATGTGTTTATGTTGCCACAAATTAATAATATGAGATAGAGGCTGGCTGGTCCAATCCTTATGCTGGCACCCTGCGTGGCTCTGCCAGTTACAGTGGATTGAAAACAGACACACAGGGACCGAATATATATATATAACAATATAGATAGTTGGACATGTACTTATATAATAAATGATGTATAGACTTTATTTTTCTAGTATCAATTATTTAAAAGCTGAACAAACATGCATTTTTTTTTGTTGGCTCCCATTCTTTTAATATTCCACAGTGCTTAAGAATTTAGAACAAGGTAAGTCACACAGCCCTTTCAAGTGAAGAAGGTGATCCTGTGTTTAGGTTAACACTGATCCAACATTTTGACTGGTTCTTGGGTCTGACATTGGGAACATATGTGTTTCTGTATGTATTTTTAAATGGCTGATGATATTATAACAAACAATGAAAATGTTTCACTGTCTTACATAGCATGAATAACGATACTGAAACTCATTTTTGTTGCCTATTGCCCATGGGCTCCAAAATCATGGAAATACGTTGTCAAGCTTGTTCCTTCACCATCCCTATGCAAACATGGAAAGGGGCTATCTCATAACCTGGCTAGGAATATGTGGCCTTTTAATATCTCTCTGACTATTTGAGACAAACTATTTTTTTTTCCTGGAGTTTTGCACTGTCTGCACATATACCAGAAAAATAAAACCAATAAAAAAAATAACTGGACAATGTGTAAAAAAAGCTCAATCATGATATTTCATGATATTTCCTTTTAGTTTTTTTTTTTTTCCAATTCTTTATTTTATAGAATTTTGTTTTGCGGGAGGGTAAGGGTACAGAAGAGAGAGGATGGGGTAGAAGTTAGCGTTACATATGTTGCATACCATCCAAATACATAGATTTCGTTTTACGAGTATGGTACAAGATGAAGGCGTTTGCGTGAGGAAATACTGATTCTATATATCGCGTGTTCTTTGGTTGGTTTGCGCTTCGCTCAATTAATAGTTGCAGATGGGATTAGACCTGTTGCCTAGGTTGTTGGATATTTCCTTTTTTTTTTTTATAGTTTATTAATAGTTCCATTAACTTTAATAAAAGAAACATACCTTCTTTGATTATACTGTGATACATTTTCCTCACAAAATGTTTATTTAGAAGATATATTACCATGCAACCAGTGTGGAAAATGTTAATCATTAATACAATTTTAACTATGCAAACTGCAAAAAAATAATATCTATTTAAATGTATAGGATTATTCACTAAAGTTGAAACTGCAAAGGGAATTCACAGTTAATTTAAAAATATTTACCAAAACAGCAGTATTGTAAAGAAAACGGGCTTGGATGAGTTTTCTAATTTGGCTTTTGTGGCCTAAAATTTTAATATCACTTTAAATTCCTGATAACTCATACTTTAGTAAATATTTTTCCATTTTTTTTTATACCCCAGATTAGTACAAGACATCCAAAATGTCAGTAAACATAATTTATATAAGTCAATATTTTGTAAATTTTATTAATAGAAATCCTAAATTATAAAAAGATAAAAACAGTATTTTCTACTAAAGAAAAAAAAGTGTATCGAATAAAAGAATCGCAAATTATATTCTGAGGTCAAGCTTGACAAAGACCTCAGTGGAAGTCGAAACGTTGCTGTGCACATAGTAACCCAATAAAACTGCTTTATGTTGAAAACAGTGTGCACCTGAAGCCTCTTCTTTGGAAAATACTACATGTACAGGATGTGCTGGCCTTGGCTCATTTAAGCACCCTGCTGTTCTCTGGATGAGTGCAATCCCTCTTCCTTTTTTGTGAGCATCTAATTTTAGAAATTCATCCAGAATTACTCTGTGAATAGCCACTGAATATTTTAGTCTGGATTCATTACCTACACTACTTATGCACATTATTATTGTTTTAACAGGTTTTAGGCTTGTGTTGACATGCTTGTCACTTTTATATATGCTATTGTCATCACCTATGCTATGATACTCTTACACAGATGTCATTGTTTATTATGTATTGTTGTTTTCACTTACGTTACCATGGCAAACATACCACCTTTCCTCATCATATGTATCAGTCACCACCCTCTAAATGTAATATGTTCACACTGTATGCAGACCCTGAGAAAAACCCATGGTTTGGGGTTTTAAAACTCGATGTCACTGATAATGAAGAAGCACTACTTAGGTCTTGATTTGATATTTTTGGAAAAGCTTTTCAAATGATATAATATTTTTGAATAAACTTTTAAAATGATTTAATGTTTTGAAAAACATTTTAATATCTCGATATATTTTTTTTAAATTCTTTATTTTTGGTGCAGAAGATTTTACATGCATGTCTGTGTAACAACGACAGCAAGCAAAGGCAGGTCAATGCAGACATGTTCGTGGCATGATACATTTGCACATTTTTGTTAAACATGAAATTAACAGGTTAGTATACATTGCTTATGTGAGGTAACATGTTAAACTTATTAAGCATATTAATAGTTAAATTTTATATATGTATATAAATTTAAGGTTGGTGTGTCGCTTTGTCTATTTGGTATAATTCTAACAGGTTTGGGACCTGAGCTAACATACCAGAGTTAACTAACGAGATACACTCTTAAGATAAGGGTGATAAAAGCTATCACATGAGGTTCATGTATCATGACATGGTGCATGGTTTTGCGATTTTCATGGTTAATAAACCTGTTCTGGTAGGATTTATCAGTAATTAAAAATAAAATAAAATAAAAGAAAGAGACCCTGGGTAGCAGTCAGAGCTGTAGATATGGACTGATAGCTTCGTTGGGACAATAGCACAATCCCAGATTACCAGCTGCATGTTCAAACAGTGTCATGGCTTAGTTTTCTTGTATCGATGTTTAGAAAATGCAGTTAAGTACATACTGGTCGGTTATGGCTATGATAATTGGATCTAAAGCAGTGCTTAGTCTTGTGGGGCTGTCTATGCTAAAAGTTTAGCTGTTGGGCTATGCTTTTCCATTAATATAGTAATTGAGTCCATCTTTGGAATTGAGTACTTCACTTGGTGCTTTTGCAGATGGGCGGTAAATGGCTGCAGGGCTCTTCTCCATGCCAGTGTGGCTCCAGAGAGATCCGAATAGAACTCGAGGGTCATTTCTTCAAAAAGGTAGGTTGGGTGTTCTCTGGCAGCTGTCAAGACAGCGGTTCTGTCCCTCTGGGTCTGGAATTGTAGGATCACGTCCTTTGTAGCCTTGGCTGGGGCTGTAGCCGACTTTGGGATGTGGAACATGCCCTCCAGCATCACTGTCTTGGCAGACTTAGGGGTCAACAATGCTGTGAGGAGCCTGCGTGCAAAGTGTGGCAGCTCTGCATCAGGTATATCGTCCTTAACACCCCTGGATCTTTAGGTGTCTCAGGCGGCGTTTGTCTTCCATTGTGGCGAGTTCATTTGGTTCTGCTGTTTGAGCTCCTTAATTGCGTGTTGCAGCTACTGTATTTGGTGGTCTTGGGTTTCTATGGCGGTCTCCACGACCCCGAGCCTGCCGCCTATGCCCTGTAAGGCCTCCCGGATTGAAGCCACCTCGGCCGAGATTTTTTTGTGGTGGTCTGCCATCAATTATCTAATTGCCTCCATGCTCACCGACGTGGGTTTTACAGCGGTCGGCTCGGGCTGTCTCCGATTCGGAGGCTGCTGTGGCTGGGCCGGAGGGGTCATCTCCTCCGCTTCATCCGACATTTCATCATAAAAGTCTGAGCATCCGCCATGTATGGACGCCATTTTGGAGCTGGCTGCGCTCCGGGCCTGCCGCCAGAGTTCGTCGATGTGCAAGTCCAGTCTGGGTTTGTCAGGTTTGAGTTTCTTAGTTTTTCACCCCATTTTAGTTCCGGTGTGCTTTGGGGTCTCCACGGGGAGGGTTTAACCCGTATGTGGGTGCTGAAAATGTTGTTTTTGGTTGTAGTGGCCTGGAGCTCCTCAGCCATGCGACCATCCGCTTCAGTAGGCAAGCGCCGCCCCCCATTTCGATATTTTTTTGAAATATTGATATACATTATTTTCTAGATATTATATATTTTTTTTATATTTTAATATTTTGCAAAAAACATTTGAAAAGTTTATCCAAAAATACAAAATAATTTGAAAAGCTTATTCAAAAATGTTAAATCGAAGACTTAGACTTGCAGAATTGTACTTTGTTTTTAATTGATTTAACTGAGATTTTATTTATTACGTTTGCTCTATCATAGCTCTTTTAGTTGTTTACTGTTTGACAGTCTTTAATTGTAACTGATCATATTATTAAAATGTAAGAATTTATTTAAACTTCTAAAAGAACGCTTTCTTTTCCTGCGAAATGCTGCAAAAGCAACTGTGTGGGCTTGGCACATCCCAGCTTTACATTTTGTATACTTGGAATAGTGAGGTACTAATAGCCCTACTGCTTATAATTTCGTACAAGCTATAGTTAAAGCACACCTGTCATGGTGTATCTATAAGCACATTATAAAGAATAAATTTGAATCCAAATAGCTAGTAAATCTACAGATGAAATGGTGTTTTCTTACACAATTTGACCTTTTTGGACTGTGTTGCTAAGTTCTTGGCCTTGAAGTAATATAGAAGCATATTACAACTCCTTGTATGTGTCAGTCTAGAGCAGGAGTACCAGGGCTGCTGCAGGTCTGGGTGCCCATCAATGTCCTTGGTTCTCACTGGCACCATGGGGCCCTTCCCAGCTGCTCTGACACCACTGGACGTTCCTATGTCTAAATAGAGGAAAGCAGGGTTGCAGGGACCTAACCAGGACCTGGGAGGAAGAGCTGTGAAGTGTGCACAACAAGGTAGAGCTGTACTTGGAGGGATGGTGAGTGTCTCTATATGTGTGTGTTGTGTGCATATGGGTCATTGTTTGCAGATGTGTATGTGTGTATATGTACGTGCATTTGGGTCAGTATCTATATCTGTGCATGTGTGTTCAAATGCCTACATTCTATACAAACCAGTCTTGTGTAAAAATGTCAACACAAAACCCAACACATCCCTGCATTCAGATACTAATACAATAAAAAACACCCCCTGCATTCAAAAGTCAACAGTACAAATAGTAATACCCCTCCATTCTAAAATCTACAGACAAATATTCAACAGTACAACAGTTGAGATGTACCTTTTGCCTACCCTTGCTTTATAAGAGAGAAGGGCGGCACATTTATTTATTTTTTTGCATCAGGGCCATTCTTACCCCTTAAGGACACATGACATGTGTGACATGTCATGATTCCCTTTTATTCCAGAAGTTTGGCCCTTAAGGGGTAAAATTAGTTCCGCCACTGCTACAGAAATAAGAAGTAAATACATTTACACTTTTTATAAACAATTATATTAAGTACATAGTATGCAAAAAATGCAAGCATAAAAGTAATAAGTTCTAATTTTGTTGAAAAACAGCAAAGGGAGCAGGTTCTTAAGACTATCAGTAGCACATATAGTGCGAGCCAGGAGGGCAATGAGTATGCGGTGAAGGTTGGGCCATTGCAGAAGGTGGTTTTAGAGCCATCACAGAAGCCAGTGGTTTTGAGAGTAGCTATATTGGAAGCAGCTAAGGTCCTTTTGGCTGTATCTGCAGGGGAAGTGGGAGATCTATGGACAGCTCATCATACAGGAGAGCAAAAGTAGGGGATGCTGGTCTGTCTCAGTTCTCCTCCTAACATGCTGTCTCCAATGGGCAGGGCCGGACTGGGAAAAAAATTAGGCCCGGGCATTTTTCAATCAGAGCGGCCCCCTAAGAAGGGGGCGGGGCCAGAGAGTGTGTGTTTTGTCATCACTAATGACAACACGCCCCCTCTCAAAGTGAGCATGTTGGTTCAATGCCCAGAGCCCTGCTGAAGAGCTCTGGCATTAGAAAAAGGCCCTGAATTTGTTCTGCGCAGTGCAAGCAAATTTAATAACATGCTTGCGCTGTGTTTGCTTTTAAATTGTCTCTGGTGTCTCCACAAGTGGGATACCAGAGGACAAAAGGGCCAGGAAAGTGCATGGTGCATATGTTTGTAGCCTGCTTGTGGGATTGCGTGTGTGTAGAGTGTGGTGTGGTATTGTATAAATAGGTCAATTTAATTTGTGTTTGTGGTGTTATATGTGTGGCTAGGGGCTGTAGTGAGTGTGTGTATAGGGGGCATAGTGTTATAGGGGATGCAGCGAGTGTGTGCATACGGGCTGAAGTGTGTGTGTATAGGTGACGTAGTGTGTGTAGGGGTTGCAGAGAGGGTGTGTTTAGAGAATGTTGTGTTTGCTGACAAGGAATGTAGTGTGTGTGTGTAGGAGATCTACTGTGTAAATGACCCAGTGTGTGTGTGTGTGTGTGTGTAGAGGATTAAGAGTGCATATAGGGTAAGGGATCTAGTGTGTATCTGGAGCGTAATGTGTGTAGTGGTGCAGTGTGAGGGGTGCTGTAGTGTGTGTGTGTGTGTGTGTATATATATATATATTCGGACTTATTGTATGTGTGAGGAGCGCAGTGTGTGTATGTAAGAGGGGTGCTGTGTGTGAGGGTGTTTTTATCTGCTGTCACATTCTAGGTTTCTAATTTTCTTTGTCTGTTAACTCACTGAGGGTTATTTTATATATATATATATATGTGTGTGTGCTGTATATGTGTGGGAGTGTGCTGTGTGTGAGTGAGGGTGCTGTGTGTGTCTGGGGGGTGCTGTGTGTGTCTGGGTGCGCAGTGTGTGTCTGGGTGCGCAGTGTGTGTCTGGGTGCGCAGTGTGTGTGTCTGGGTGCAGTGTGTGTGTCTGGGGGCGCAGTGTGTGTCTGGGGGCGCAGTGTGTGTCTGGGGGCACAGTGTGTGTGTCTGGGGCTGCTGTGTGTGTCTGGGGGGTG